TGCGAATAAAATAATGGGTCTGCATAAACTTTGGGCCAGAGAGGTATCTTAATTAAGAACGATAATATACGTCTCTTGTGCCACATGTTCAAGTTTAATTGCTTTCATCCATTTTTAATATTAAAATATTGAATAAAAGACCAAAACTCAGTCTCTGCATTGCAGATGCTCTTACCATTCACAGTATTAGGCTATGAATGGTAACAATAAAAAAGCAGTTTCAAGAAAAAGAAAATAAAACCGCTACACTGTCACCAATCAAAGGTTTTTAGGTAAGAAATTACGTTTTATTTTTAAATGCAATTCGCAGAATTGTCCAACGAGTAAAAGGGCGTACCGCTGTTAAAACATGAAACGCCCTATTACCCTAGGGGTCCAAGCAAAAACCGTTGTATAATATTTTTTGTTATTTTTTAATTAAAAATTCATATATATGGCTAAAAAATATATAACACTCTCACTTCCTTCCTTCTTCTTTTTAACCAAAAAAACATTCATAACTATAAAAAAAATATAAAACTCTTTTAATAAATTATATCAAATACATATAAATAAAATATGCATATTTTATGTTATCTTTCTTTTTAAGAATTTTCATTTTTAATTAATAAAAGTTACTATATCTAACAAAAAAGTACAATTCTCTCCCTTCCTTCTTTCATTTCTTATAAACAAATATTACCATAAAAAAAGAAAAGAAAAACCTTTTTAAATAAAATCAGTTTTAAATTAAGTAAGAAAATAAATTGTATCAAATTACGTGTATGTGAATCAATTAATCTCTAATCAGAATACGGTTTATTTAATTTATTAATATATAAAATCAGAATAAAATCAACATAAAATTAATTGTGATTACCAAATAGAACTGATCTCCTATCAGTTATAAATAATTTTGATAACTTATAAAATTATTAAATACATTAGTAAATGTGTAAAAAACGTTTGTGGATAAATCAAATACTTGATGGTGTTTTTTGTTGTATTGATTTTAATTGTTTATATTTTTTACTTGATTTAATAGTATATATATATATAATTATTGTATAATTAAATTTGGATATTTAATGTTCACAAAAATATAATTTTTTATTAACATAAAACAAACAATAATACAATTGTACTAATTTAATATTATATTTATTTATAATATGTAGTTCGTATCGTTTTTTATTTTTTACCATTCAAACAGTTTACTGTGGACTGCAAATTATTTTTTCACAAATTAAATATTATTTTGTACCGCTTATTTGACACAAACCGCACTTGTCCCGCAAATATATTTTCCCTTACGTACCATAGTTGAACCGTACCACATTCTTAAACCGCTTTTCCTGCACAAACAAAAATGTTGTCACCATTCAGACCTTTAAACCACTTTTCCCGCACAGTCAAAAACGCTGTCATCATTTGGACTCTAAATCTCTCGATCGCTTATTTATTTTACTAAAATATACTAGTAATAAAAAAAATTTGATAAAAAGTACTTCATTTTTTTCTGCAAAAAATTGGTAAAGAGTACTCCATTATCTTCTGTAAAAAATTTAAAGCTTCTTCTCTGAGTTTTTTTTTTTGGTTAACGATTTTACTCTGAGTTCCAAAAATGGTTGATGTCTCATGGATTGTTGTAGTATTATTACAAATTGGCTGATTATTGTACCCTGCCTACGAATTCCAGCTTGCTGCCAATTAAATCCCTGTTTCTGGCGATCTTACCAACAAACATGTCCTACAGACAATTCTACAGTATCTTCTCCTGACTCTAATCTCCAGCTACAGTAAATCTAACCTGATTTTTTTTCGTTTTTGTAATTGAGATTAGGATCTTATAATAGATTTAAACTTATACTCAATGGATGAGATTAAGCAAAATTTTATACTAAATGGATGGATGATATTAGGATCTTGTTTTTCTAGTTGGATGATGGATCTTATGTCAAGGTTTTATAATTTTATGTCAAAGTTTAATGATTTTTGCTTGGTTTTGGGCGAGCAAATAGGTTTAAAGCTAAGTTACTTGTTGAATAAGTAACTGTTTTGTGCCTGGATAACACAAGTCAAATTTGGAAAAGTGGAATTGGAGTGTATTATGTTTTTCTGTTAGGTCTCCAAAAGCTGACCTCTGATAAAGCAGAGGATTTTTCTGCTGCAGATGATTTCAAATTTTCAACAAAGTTTTCTGAATGAAGATTACCTTTTGTTTACTTAGCAATACTGTTGTTTTTGAGTTAGCAATACATGTTGTTTTACTTTGCAATATTATTGTTTTTAATTTAAAATGAGAGCGCCTATAATATATGAAAATGATGATAAAACATTTTTTTAATAACACAGAGGTGATTTAGATTTGTACCAATCAATTAAACTATAATCATCAAATGACCCATTAGCCAGATTTTTTAATAGGTGTAAAGCATGAAATTTTGACTATCCAAATAAGAATGGTTACATAATTTCATGATAAAAGAATCGATCTCTGATTTAAACCGATAAGATGACTCCTTAGACAAGTGAAAACCACATATTACTACCATTTTGAGCATTTACAAGGCACTGATCAATCATTCAAAACCATCTAAAGTCTAAATCGTTTATACGACTATCTTACACAGCTATAATTTCTGTTTTGTTCCTTTTCAACAAGGATGAAGGAGCACAATCTAAATCTTTCATAGAGTTATATATTTATATATGTGATAGCATCTAAATCGTTATTCTAAAAAAAAATATCTTTGTTGATATGACTTCGTTTAAACGTTTAACATACAATAATATCATTAACATAAAAACCGCTCTCTGAAATTGGGAAAAAAGCTAACAGAAAAAACTGCTATCTCTCCTTCCTCCCCAAATCGTCGTCTCCTTTGAATAAACTTTAGTTTCAACCATTTACTTTTCTGTTCAGCAGCTTCAGCCGCCGATTTCATTTTTGTTCTTTCTTTTGTTTTCAATTTGATTCACCACATCTCTTGTTATTTGCAAGTCTTTGGGCAACTGTTTTCCAACATCGTAGAAACCAATTTTTCCAACATCCATATCATCACCGCTCTGGATTAGAGGAGATCTATATCACTACAAGAAAACATGTTGAATTCCTATGAATTTTCTTATCAAAATTTTGGTAGGAAATATTTATTACCATTTTCCTATGAATTTATGACAAAAAATAAAAATGGTAGGAAATTGGTAAAAAATTTCCTACGATAAAAATGGTTAGAAAATGGTTGAAATTTTTTTACCAATATTCAACCAAAATAATATCCGTAGGAAATTTGATCAGAAAATGGTAGGAAATTGGTTGAAATTTTTTACTGTTATAATAGTAGAATTTCAACTTTTCTACAAACAGAATATATAGGAAATTACCTATCACTTTCCTACGAAACAAATATTTTATTATTTAATATCCTACAAATTTCCTACCAAAATAGCCAAAAAAGAAGCGGCAAAAATCCTACATCGACCAAGTGGAGAAAATTTCACACTCAACATGTTCTATAAATAGGATGCTAAATGAAAACAATACCTTAACATAATTTGGGGTACAAAAACCTCTATATTTAGTTAAAATTGATTTGTAATTAATTACCAATTAGAAATTTATTATTTTCGGATTTATTTTTTTAAATTATTTAATAATTAAAATTATTTAATTTTGTAAAAATTCTATTAAAATTCTGACCAAAATTTTCCTACGAATAGTTTCCTAACAAAATTTTCGTAGGAAATTTTCTACCATTTTTTTTATCATTTATGATTTCCGACAGCAAAGAACCTACGAAAATATTTCGTAGGAAATTGGTAGGAAAAACATGTTTCCTACGATTTTTTGATGAAATATGTGGTAGGAATATGTGATGTTTTCTTGTAGTGTATCATCACCGCTCTGGATTAGACTTCTCGGTGACATCTACATGTTGGATAATGATTAGTGTTGTGGAGGTTATCACTTTTTCATTTCTCTTTAATTTGTTGTCGATTCAAAACCGGCAATATTCTTGTGGTTTATTCTCTTATGTTTTCAGCCGTAGTGACTGGTTTTGGGAATCATTTTGTATATACGGTATAATAACAGTTGATCAAATAGCATGGGGTTTGAGATGGGTAATCATTCAATGTTTCCTTCTCCTCTCACTCTTTCTTTTTTGTGTCGGTTCAATTTCGTAGCCGTTTATTCTCTCATGGTGTAGTGTTATGTTCCGAGATATGTTTTTATCTCCAGTGTTTTCCTCAATTTTCCTGTAGGTTTGTAGGAAAATGTGTCCAAATCCGTTTGATATGGGATCCAGGAATATTAGGTCGACGAAACGAATCAATGCAAGAGAGAATAAGATTTGGTGCTCTCACAGACAAATACCATAATTGGAGAAATCAATATATTTGGGTTTCATTCTCGGCTATACCAAGACCATCATAGCGATGATGTGTTTGTAAAATGAAGATTCAGTAATTTTGGGTTTCAGTTTCATGTTAAGATGAAGAAACTTCTACAAATGCACATCAAAAGTCTAATGAGACCAAGACCCGAATATGTATTGCTCAGCGCGGTGAAAAAGTCAAAGCTAAACCCTGATAAAAGGTATTGGATACAGAAGCTTTAGTATCCAATTGTGAAAACAAAACTTCATACAATAGAAGCATTGGGTTTTATCATGCTGTGTGTAAATACGAGGTTGCCAACAGTTACTAACCAAACACACAATTCACATTAAAAAAAGAAAGAATATGGAAAAGAAAAATAATAGATTTAATTATCTATTAGCGAATAAGACTTTACTTTAGAAAGTATATGTAATAATTTGTTTTCTGGAAGTTTTGTATATTGACTTTATAATCGTATTTTGATATTAATGAAATTGTTTGTCGTAAAAAAATTAATAATAGAAACATGTTATTTTTTTATTAGATATATGTAAATGTTAATATAAATTCACAAAGCAACAAGATTGCATGCAAAAATTTAGATGCAAAAAAAATAGAAAAAGAAAAAAAAAAGAGAGAAAGATATACAATGCCTAACCCTCGGTTTCATCTAGCAGGTCCGACTAGTGGAGCCGGCCCAAAACCGATCCGATATACCCGACCCGTAAAATCTGATGCCATTCACTGAAAAGGACGGCTTTGTTCTTCCACTTTCCGAGAAACCTAACCGTCGACGATTCTGCAGAGAGAAGAACTCGAAAAGCAAAATTTAGAAATGAACCAGACGAGACGAAAGAGACGAACCGATCCTTCTCTCTCTAGACTCGAATCTCTCTCGCCGGAAATGCTTTTTCCGACGAAATCCCCGGCGCTGATTTCCGCGCGCGTCAGAAACATCTTCCTGTTGCTCACCATTTGTGTCATCGTCTGCATCCTCTTCTCTTACGGAACTTTCCGCCGCGAGAAAATCTCATCGATCGCTCGCTCGTTGTCTGTGTTCTCCACCCGACGCCGTCACTTACTATTTTCGATCGCCGCCTCTCACGACTCTTGGCTCCGCCGTAGCTCGTACGTTCGTCTCTGGTACACTCCCGAGTCCACACGCGCCGTCGTATTCCTCGACCGCGGTGGATTCGATCCCGATCTCAGTCTCCCTCAGGTAATCGTTTCTAAAGACGTCTCTAGGTTTCCCTATAACTTCCCTGGTGGTCTCCGATCGGCGATCCGCGTGGCTCGCGTCGTTAAGGAGACGGTGGATCGGGGAGATAAAGACGTGCGGTGGTTCGTTTTCGGAGACGATGATACAGTGTTCTTCGTAGACAATTTGGTGACGGTTTTGTCAAAGTACGATCACCGTAAGTGGTATTACGTCGGGAGTAATTCGGAGTTCTACGATCAGAACGTGAGGTATTCCTTTGATATGGCGTTTGGTGGAGGAGGATTCGCCATCAGTGCTTCGCTTGGGAAGGTTTTAGCAAAAGTTTTGGATTCTTGTTTGATGAGGTATTCACACATGTATGGAAGCGACTCCAGGATCTTCTCTTGCTTGGCTGAGCTTGGTGTTACATTAACTCATGAACCTGGATTTCATCAGGTATTGAATTAATATTATCATAGTGAAAAGACTTGAATTTGATTTATTGGAATCCATAAGTTGATAGTTCACAGTGACATTGATGTTGATTGCTGAACAAGAGAGATTTCTGCATTTGGAAAGTTTAGCTTAGTTAGCAAAGCATTAATTTTTACTTGCCTTATTTGGTTGATTTTGGATAAGTGTAGTTACTATGTTCCTTATTAAGTACTCTATCTCTAATTTGCTTGTAGGGATTTAATCTGAATATTACTATGTATGTGCTCTTTTTGATAGATTGATGTAAGAGGGAACCTATTTGGATTGCTTTGCGCGCACCCCTTATCTCCATTGGTGTCACTTCATCACTTGGACGCAGTTGATCCATTTTTCCCGAAAATGAACCGGACAGAATCCGTGGCTCGTTTAATCGGAGCTGCGAGTTTAGATTCCGCAAGGATTTTGCAGCAGAGTGTGTGCTACGATTCCTCAAACACAGTAACTGTTTCGGTTGTGTGGGGCTATGCGGTTCAAGTTTACGAAGGCAATAAGCTCCTCCCGGATCTTTTAACCCTGCAAAAGACATTTTCGACATGGAGGAGAGGGTCAGGTGTCCAAAGCAACTATATGTTCAGTACAAGAGAATATCCCAGGGATCCATGTGGGAGACCGCTTGTCTTTTTCTTGGATAGTGTAGGACCAGATGGAGCTGAAGGAACATGGAGTAGTTATAACCTCCATAGTGTCGGAAACTGCCACAGAGCAGAAGCTGTTAAGCGTCTACAATACATCCGAGTTCTGTCTCGTAAGCTGGAGCGTAATGTTGAACAGGTATATACTCCTTGCTTCTCAGTATATTACATTTAATTTGGCACGGATTCACATTTTTTTTTCTTTCTTTGAATTAAAAATGCTAGATGAATCCTCCTCGCCGCCAGTGCTGTGACATCTCATCGCCTTATAACAAATCAATGGTCATTAATATAAGGCAATGCATGCCCGATGAGCTAATCGCCATGAACAGTTAGCATTTTTTTCTTGGCCATCATCTTCAAGAATCAGCTAAACAAAGCCCGAGCCAATTGCTCTAAACCAATTGCGGAATCTTAGGTAAGTTTCGTGGTGCTTCATAATTCCAATGTGTAATCAACATAACCTAATGCTTTTTTCTTGTAATCTGTAGGTGGGTTTAAGTGATCTTCCTGACCGACTCCGAAAGTAGGTGTCTCATAGAAGAGACCCGAGTTCGAACCATAAAGAAACTCACACGATTTTGCATTTACCTCCAAGTTTGTCTTCTCTGTCTCTCCCTTTTTGTAACACGCGTAAGGAAAAGAATAGAACTCAGATCCTTCCTCTGTAATCTGTATATATGGTTGTGTTGGCCCTGTGCATTGATGTCTCTTATACTCGATCCAAAGTTTGGAGTTTTTGGTTATATAAGAGGTCACTTTGCTATTTGAGCTTTTCAATTTTTTGTTTGCCCTCCACATTATCTCAATTCACTCGTCTTCAGATTGATTGAACCTGTGAACTGAGTTTGCGAATAAAAAAAGATGGCAAAATCACTTCTTTTGGAAATTGAGTTTGCCAACGAAGAAAGCGAAAAGAGATGCCAAGAGAATTGGGAAGGCAATGAGAACAAAAGCTACAAGAGCCAAAGATTCATATCTGTAACCAAAATAATCCTCCAAGAAAGCTGAAACTTTCTTCTTCTCCCCAAATGCTAATATCTCTTTCTCCATATCTCCATACTGCGACGTGAGCAATCCATTCAAAACCCATGACGTAGGGCTCAAGTAATACATCCAAATCCACCATCTCGGAATACTCTACACAATCAAACAAAATTCCGGTTAAAATCCTCATAACTTGACAGATGATTTCTTGAAGCTCTTGTTAGAAACTTAATGTAAGAGAGGACTTACAGGCTTTGGCATGACATAACCAGCAAAGAGATTCACGACAGAGTAAAAAGACGAGCGCAGAGTAAAGGCAACGTGAATGTTTGGTGTCACAACGACTAAAAGCATGCCGAAATAGTTGAAGATGAGCAACGAGCAGAAGATTGTGTACAAGCTCCAAAACACTTTGTAAACTGACCAGTGATACCCAACCATAGGATATACGATTGTCACACATAGAATAGATTGGAATAATGAGTATGGAATCTCAACCAACACCTGCACAGATCAAATAAGGCTTTAAATTTCAACTCCATCGCCGATTCATCCAACATTTTTCTTGTTATTATTTGTTTTTTACCTGAGCAAGAGAATACGCCCATGAGGTGTACATTCCTGCAAATCTTTCTCGGTAAAAGACATTTCTCTCGGTTGCAACGCAAAACAACACTGTTGAACAATTATTTATTCCAGAGAAGAGAACCACTGTGTACATTGAGCCAAAGATATGTTCAAGAATCTTTTGAGAGAGAAAACAACTCAAGAAAGATGAGGAAAGAGACTAACATTTCCTTAGCTTTTTGCCAGAAGAGAAGGCCACAGAGCAAAGAAGTAAGGCACATGAAGATGATGCGAGTGAGGTTGTAAGAAGGGTTTCTCCAATAAGAGAGATGTTGTTTCCAGAGGCATGCTCTGAATTGTTCCCAACCCGTTTGAGCATATCGCGTAGAGGAGATTAATCCTACTGTTCCCAAAGATTTAGACCTCATTTGCTCAATTACCATTTTGTTCTCCCTGAATCAAAAACAAGAGAAGGATTATTACAACAACAGTTACTCTCAGGCAACATCGATCCAAAGTGTTTAGACTTACTTAAACAAAGTCGATTCTGTGTACATTAGTGCCAAATCAACACCAAGTTTGTCTTCTGAGGATTTAGAAGTAATGTCTAGAAGCCAAGTGGCTGGATTAGTGTTCTCTTTTATTTTCGGAACTCCAGGAATGCTCTACAGTGGAACCATTTTTTAGTTGTAAATAAAGAAACTTTAAATGCGACAGTTTTTTTGAGTATTATATAGAAACTTACCATAAAATATTCAATAACTTTGCTTGAATGTTGTCCAAGAGGTCCATAATAGATAATCTTTCCTCCATTTTTCATCAGAATCAGCTGCAATTAAAGGGACACACATAATGTACTTTACACAAAGTGATTTTGATGAGATGAATGTTCATTTCCATGAGTGTTACCTCATCAAATGCTTCGAATATATCTATGCCTGGCTGGTGAATGGTGCAAACAACGGTTCTGCCAGTCTCGGCGATGTTCTTCACAGCTCTCATAACAATTGCAGCAGCTCTTGCATCTAACCCTGTGGTTGGTTCATCCATGAATATGATTGAAGGATTGGCAACAAGCTCCACAGCTATTGTTAGCCTCTTTCGTTGTTCTGTTGTTAAACCGCTAATTCCAGGAAGTCCTACAATAGAATCTTGAATCTCCTCGAGCTCTATCGTTTCAAGAACTTCCTTGACTATTGCCTGGAAGTAAAAAATCAAGAAAATACTCAGGCAAGGGGAAGAAGCTATATAAAGAATGAAGAACTTCATAAAAATAATGACTTACACGCTTTGTTTCTGAATTGATGGTAGAAGGAAGTCGAAGCCAAGCAGAGTATATCAAGGACTCCACGACGGTTAAGTTTGGAGAATGAATATCAAACTGTTCGCAATAACCTGAAACCCTAGCAAATGTTTCTTGGACCTTAAGGTAACCGCCTACTTGGATTTGTCCTTTAACGTCACCACGGGTTTTTCTTCCGGAAAGAACATCAAGCAGAGTGGTTTTACCAGCTCCACTCACACCCATTAAAGCAGTGAGAACACCAGGCTTGAATGCGCCTGTAACGTCAGAGAGAAGCTGTAGCTTCTTTCCCTTTAATCAGAAATGAGAGCCATTATATATCTGTGTTTTGTTTACAAGGATTCAAGAAATACTTGTTCTGCTCTTATATACTCTTTTTTACCAGAGGTGTCTCGATGAAATATTGCACGTCTTGAAATGTGAAAGAGAGGGGCTTGAAAGGCAATGCATTCTTGGATTGGGAAGAAACTTTAGAACTTGATTTATAATCGTTTTTTGAACTTTGAGTGTTCTCACGAGAAACAATCGTACGAGATCTCTGTGAAGCTGAAGTTACAGAGAAATCAAATCCACATTTGTCTATACAAACTTCAATAAGTCATATCTTGTATAGAAATCTCTCTTGTGAACTTACACTTTAGAAATGTCAAGGCCAGTGCAAAAACAATATTGAAGAAGAGTGTGAAGCCAATCAAAGCACCAAAAGCTCTCCAGTAGATGATTACCAAAGTTCAAGCCGCGAACATCTAGAACTTGTTCCCCCAAAGTTCTGTTTCAGATGTTGGCTAAATGATGATAAAAAGATCAATAATGAACTAAAGTCTTAGCTAGAAAAATGTGAAAGTCTTATGAAGAATTCATTACCTTTCTCCACCTTGGAGCGAAAAATTCATTTGCGGTTAGGCCAATCTCAGCATATGACAATGGAGATAACCAGAATCCCCACTCAAGCCAAGCAGGCATGGAGGCTGAAAAATAACAGTGCACCATTAAAATGTATCTTCTGAAAGACTTAATAGAAATCAAGTTTCAAGTAACAAAACTTACGTTTTCGAACAATGAATCCTCCAAATAATGAGAGAAGCACTACAGAGATTGTTCCAATGGTTGTAGAAAGAACAAAGTCTCTAAAGGTGGCAGCTATAGCACGGAACATTGATATACATGAAAGGTGCAAAGCAAAGAAGATCAAGAACTGGCGAATGAACCTGAAAGTAGAAAAGAAAATATTTTGGTTTAGCAGAGATATTTCTTGAAATTTGCTTTTGTATTCACCATTTTTGGTTGTAAATTGATGTGTACCTGCCAAACTCAGGACTGTAACCAATGACATAATATGTCAACAAGGTCCAGAGGAATGCTTCAAGAAATGAAATCGGTGTCTTTAAAATAGCTGAAGGGATTGCATATGCCCAAGCAGGGTAAAAGTATAACTCCTTTTGCTTGCAGAAAACAGCGATCCTCGAGATTGTCAATGTGAGTTCTGGAAGTCCATCAGCAAGAAGTTTAAAGATTGAAAAGAACAAAGAACCCATAAGGTAATTAGCATGAAGAGCATCTCTTGTAGACCCAGTCCGTAGATAAACAGTCATTGCAATGAATCCAATAAAGATTAACTGCAGAAAAAGGTTACAAGGGTTTTAGCATGTTATCAATGGTTAACACAAATAGTAGCTTTTGGCTAAGAACATAGAATCTTACGAGTCCAGACTTGAATGCATAAACGAAATAGTTTCTTTTCATCAGAAGAAATTCTCTCCTTGAACAACCTTTTAGCATCTCCCAGTTACTAAGTGAGTATTTTCTAAAGCACAGTGCATCTTTTTGAGCCTGAGACTTTTCATAGCTCTTGGAGACCTCTTCTTTTAGTTGTAACCCAATATCAGACTTTTTGAATCTCTCAATAAATGAATCAATGGAGACATAACAATATGGTTTGTCTCTGTGACACCAATACTGTTCTTGATCTTTCTTTGAGATTACCTGCAGCACAAGAGTAATCATCAAGGTTTCAAATCTAGCAAATGAAGAAATAATCAGAGAATCATCATTATCATCATATTCATACCTCCTGAAGAAATTCAGCAACAGATTTCCTATTTGGACATTTAAATCCACAATCCTCAAAGAATCTACATGCGTAATCTCGTGGACCGTGATAGATTATCTTTCCTTCTCCCATAAGAATCACATCATCGAAAAGCTCAAACGTTTCTGGTGCAGGCTAAAGCAGTGAAACCAGTATGGTTCCTTCAGATAAAAGTGCAAACTGCTGGAGACATGACATAATCTGGAACGTAGTTGAGCTGTCCAAACCATCCGATATTTCATCCATGAACAGAGTATTTATTGGACCTACAATCGTCTCACCTGCAGTAGATAACAAAGATATGAAGTTTGTGTTTGTAAGGCATTAGAACCAATGTGTAAAATGCTTAAAGTACCTGTAGTTAATCTTCTCTTTTGGCCACCAGATATTCCTGGTCTCGAAGCATCTCCAACACGGGTATCTGCACATATATTGAGCCCTAGGATCTGAAATAAAGCAGATGCATTAATTAACTTGTTATAAAGAAGAACCGAAGTTAAAGATGAGAACAATTCTGAAAGCATCTCACCTTTAGGATATAATCAGTTTGCAGATTAGTTTTTGAACCTTTAATTGAAGCTGCCTGTCATGATAAACCAAAGTTGAAGTCCAAGTTTACTGTTATTGTAGAGTCTCAATGAAATGAAGTTATAAATTTTAGTTTTATACCTTCATGTATGCATCTATATCAGGATCTGGAACTATTCCTCTTAGTTTCTCCCTTCTACTAATAGCTTTCATCATTTCTGTTGAGTTCTTAAGGTCAATAAAATTCAATGCAACAAGATCTCAGAAACAAGAAACATAGGAATTGTTGTTTGCCTCACCTAAACGGTTTCCCGTGCCTTGAAAACATCCTGAAAAATCGAGTGTCTCTCTCACACTAAGCTCTGGAATGTGCAGATCGTTTTGACTTACATAACTCGATGTTTTCTCAGATACAAACTCCGAAAACAAGTGACCGTTGTAAGTAACTTCTCCTCTTGTCTGTAAAGTGGAAGCAACCTATAAGATTTATGAACAAAACTAAACGCTTTTTAAGGGTTAATTAATTCTTTGGCCAAACCTTTAAAGAAGGGTCGAGTCTTCCAAATAGTGCGAGTAGCAGAGTGGTTTTACCACAACCAGGAGGACCAAGCAACAAAGTCATTCTGTAAGAAAAACCCTAAAAAAGAATCTGAATAAAACCGATCATTCATTCTTGAAAACAAAGCAAACGATTTAAAATGTTTCAAGAATCCACCTTTTAGGCCTTATGATGCCATTAACGCCTTTCAAGATGCTTTTTTTCTTTACTTGCTTTGAACACATGAATCTGTGTGAAGATTCACCATTATATAAAGATTCATTTGTAGAAGAAATGGAAAGTAGAAAGAAAGTCATATGAACACTTACAGATAATCTGCTTGCAATAGCGTTCCAAAGAGTTGGGATTGGCTTCCCATAAACTACCTCACACTCTGCTTCGACAAACTTAACTTCAATCGTTGGTAACTCAATCCCAACCCTACAAAGAAAAATACATTGGATTGATATAGAAACATATAAAAACACAGTTGACCACAGAAAAACGGAATCTTGAAGCGTGACTTACTCGTCAACTCTCTTCTTGATTTTCTGCAATAAGCGGAGATTATCAGTCTCAACATGTCTAATGAGCTCATCTATAAAGAGATGTCTATCAAGATCCTCAAGTTTAGAAACATCCATGACTTGTCGTCTCTCTGTTCTCTTCCCTTGTTCATCTCTTTTGCAGAACAAAGCAGTATTGATCCTTTCAAACGTTGGTAATCTCTCAATAGCAGCCCATTGAGGCTGGAGCTTCTCATCATCATCATCATCATCATCATCATCATCAACAACAACTTCACCATTTTCATTGTTCCTAGAAGCAAACTCAACCTCATCTCACCTGTTTGAGGCATTTTCATTATTGAAAACCAAATTCGTTAAA